CAGAATGTGATGCAACCATCTTCTTTCAACATCTGTGAGCCATGGAAATGGCCTTCCGGAGACTTTTAAATGCCTTCTCATATCTCAAGAATCCCATAAACCAGAAATCAAAGTTGTCATCCGTCACCACTTCTATATACTTCATATCTGGCTCACTAACATTCTCGCTTTGGTTGGCCTTTATGACCTTCTTTAATGGTATCATAACCTGCACAAAATCAAATCACACCCCACTTATACGAACACGTTTGAGAGTGTTTTTGGAATGATCAAAGTCAATTTAGTCATCTACAAAATCACTCACGAACATGTCCTAATTGCTAGAGAAATTCTTGAACTTTGGAATGGCTAAAGATGTTCTCGCCTCCCCTATTCGGGCTGGAGTTTGAGAGTGTTTTTGGAATGGCTAAAGATGTTCTCGCCTCCCCTATTCGGGCTGGAGTTTGAGAGTGTTTTTGGAATGGCTAAAGATGTTCTCGCCTCCCCTATTCCGGCTGGAGTTTGAGAGTGTTTTTGGAATGGCTAAAGATGTTCTCGCCTCCCCTATTCCGGCTGGAGTTTGAGAGTGTTTTTGGAATGGCTAAAGATGTTCTCGCCTCCCCTATTCGGGCTGGAGTTTGAGAGTGTTTTTGGAATGGCTAAAAATGTTCTCGCCTCCCCTATTCGGGCTGGAGTTTGAGAGTGTTTTTGGAATGGCTAAAAATGTTCTCGCCTCCCCTATTCGGGCTGGAGTTTGAGAGTGTTTTTGGAATGGCTAAAAATGTTCTCGCCTCCCCTATTCGGGCTGGAGTTTGAGAGTGTTTTTGGAATGGCTAAAAATGTTCTCGCCTCCCCTATTCGGGCTGGAGTTTGAGAGTGTTTTTGGAATGGCTAAAAATGTTCTCGCCTCCCCTATTCGGGCTGGAGTTTGAGAGTGTTTTTGGAATGGCTAAAAATGTTCTCGCCTCCCCTATTCGGGCTGGAGTTTGAGAGTGTTTTTGGAATGGCTAAAGATGTTCTCGCCTCCCCTATTCGGGCTGGAGTTTGAGAGTGTTTTTGGAATGGCTAAAGATGTTCTCGCCTCCCCTATTCGGGCTGGAGTTTGAGAGTGTTTTTGGAATGGCTAAAAATGTTCTCGCCTCCCCTATTCGGGCTGGAGTTTGAGAGTGTTTTTGGAATGGCTAAAAATGTTCTCGCCTCCCCTATTCGGGCTGGAGTTTGAGAGTGTTTTTGGAATGGCTAAAAATGTTCTCGCCTCCCCTATTCGGGCTGGAGTTTGAGAGTGTTTTTGGAATGGCTAAACATGTTCTCGCCTCCCCTATTCGGGCTGGAGTTTGAGAGTGTTTTTGGAATGGCTAAAAATGTTCTCGCCTCCCCTATTCGGGCTGGAGTTTGAGAGTGTTTTTGGAATGGCTAAAAATGTTCTCGCCTCCCCTATTCGGGCTGGAGTTTGAGAGTGTTTTTGGAATGGCTAAAAATGTTCTCGCCTCCCCTATTCGGGCTGGAGTTTGAGAGTGTTTTTGGAATGGCTAAAAATGTTCTCGCCTCCCCTATTCGGGCTGGAGTTTGAGAGTGTTTTTGGAATGGCTAAAAATGTTCTCGCCTCCCCTATTCGGGCTGGAGCTCGAGAAATTCTTGAACTTTTTAACGGCTAAAGATGTTCTCGAGAAATTCTTGAACTTTTTAACGGCTAAAGATGTTCTCGAGAAATTCTTGAACTTTTTAACGGCTAAAGATGTTCTCGAGAAATTCTTGAACTTTTTAACGGCTAAAGATGTTCTCGAGAAATTCTTGAACTTTTTAACGGCTAAAGATGTTCTCGAGAAATTCTTGAACTTTTTAACGGCTAAAGATGTTCTCGAGAAATTCTTGAACTTTTTAACGGCTAAAGATGTTCTCGAGAAATTCTTGAACTTTTTAACGGCTAAAGATGTTCTCGAGAAATTCTTGAACTTTTTAACGGCTAAAGATGTTCTCGAGAAATTCTTGAACTTTTTAACGGCTAAAGATGTTCTCGCCTCCCCTATTCGGGCTAGAGTTTCACTTTCCGGGCAAAGTCAGAATTCAAAGCAGGGGTCTAATACGCCGCTTTGATTGTATTCGAACGAAAATTTTTGCATCACATGGTGCTTAAAGTTTCAAAGATGCCTTCATCAAAATTCTGGATATGTATTAAGCAGAAAAATTCCAGAGACTTTTAGCTTGTTCAATCACTTTGTTCCAACAAAAAGTTGGGGATTTCTTTGAAAAAAAGGACTACCCAAAAATATTCTGTATCTATCTATGAATGTTCAATTCCAATCCTAAAATCTTTAGAACTTTCCATTTTCTGCAATCAACAGCCAAAAAGTTCTTTAAGTTTCTATCAAAGATGCTTTAAATTCCATTTTCTGAACGCAAAACTTTCTTATGAACATGGTTAAATCAAATCAAATCAAATCAAATCAAACATGATTTATTTGCAATCTCCTATGATCCACAGCTGAAGGCTTAAATCTAAAGGTTACCTTGTACTGAGTTTTGATCAGTTCTCCAGTTGGTGAAGGGAAAGTGATACTTTGCTCACTGCAGAAAGCAACCCTGTGTGTGGACATGAAAAGAAGCCCTGCAATGGGTCCTGCGCTTGTTGATAAGTAACATTGAGAGGCCTTCAAAAGCTCTTCTCCTTCTACAATCCCAAAAGCATGTTTGAATATGTTCTTTCTACCACCTTGTCGTATAATTTTTGCCCCTAATCTCAATTTTCCTTTGGCAGTAACCGAGAATTTAGGCCCCAATTTAACTACAGATTCACAAAAAAACACAAAGTTTACGCTGATTCAATCATAATATATGCGATAAATTTCAGGTGGCATTTCTACAAACAGGTGGTGTGCAATAAATTTGGACAGCAAAAACTTTCGATCCTTACCATGCTCGTAAATTCGAAATACAATTCCGCCTCGTTTCCTGATTAATTGCTTCTTGTGCCCCAATTTTGAATGATCTTTACCTGCAAAAATGAAATCTCCATCGATTTAGATGAACAGAGCGGCGCCAAGATCGAGAGGGGATTGATTATTACCGTAAGAAGAGGGAGAGCCATCGGAATAAAGAGGTACGCGCCTTTCAGGCGTTTTCTCGAAAGAGTTCATGAGAGGGCTTCGAACACCAAGACTTCGAAATCGTGGTCCGCGGCCACCGGCCGGAATCGCCTTCCGACCGAGAAACGACCAACGGTACAAAGAGATCAAAGAATCGACCTGTAATTTATGAAATCAATTCCTCCTTGAAATTCTAACTTCCATCGAAAGAAACGGGAGAATTTGTACGTCGAAAATTCTATTTTCTGGAAAGAGAAAAATTCGAATCAGGACATTGAACAAGTGGAATTAAAATAGCGCGGAATCATCGAACAAGCTTCCAGGCAATTTCGTCAGCTTTGAACAACAACTTCTCCTGTTTTATGACGAAAACAAAAATCATGTTCAAAATTGATTTCGTGTGAAAAAAATCAACGGAAGAACATAGTGAAGCAGCAAGACGACAAGGAAGCAAGGACGAGTTGATTATAACCCGGGAAACTATTTAATTAGTACAAAGCTTCATTATTTAATAAAATACAAAACTTTATAATTTATCTAAATTAAGCCAAAAATACAACTCATAAATAAATATTTTAATATAAATAGAACTCACAAATTTACTGACAAAATTTAATCTTTTATCTTCATAAATAATTTCTATAATTTTAATTTTAGTAAATTATAAAAAATTATTCTAAATTTTAAAATTATAGAGACTAAATTTTAATTTCTTTTAATATCATATAAACAAGAATAAGAGAAAGAATGAGAGATATTATTTTTAAAGCTAAATGGGCATTTTTGAAGAAAAAAATTATTATTTATATTAAGAATGAGAAATATAAATAGAATTGAAATTGATGGTTTGTTCTGATTCATATTCATCCGCTTTAAATAGAATAGAAATAGTCACTACTAAATAAAATATAAAATAATTAAATATTGAAAATAAAATAAAATATACTATAAATCAAATTATAAAGAAAATAATATTAAGATATAATATCTAAAATATATTCCATAAATAATATATTCTCCGAATATTTTATCTCAACACTCTCCCTCAAGTTGGAGGGTGTATGTTAATTACATTCAACTTGTCTTTACGTGTATAGGTCAATAACACTTAAGTTGTCTTTACAAGTGTAGATCAATAACACCCAAGTTGTCTTTGAGAAGAGAGTGTAGGTCAATAACACCCAATTTGTCTTTGACAAGAGAGTGTAGGTTAATAACACTTTTGTCTTCCCAGTAGTGAAAATAGAGAGTGTAAGTCAATAACACTCAACTTGTGTTTAGGAGTGTATATATCATCTTGAATACAAACATCTCGAGAGGTTGTGAAAGAAAATACGAACATCTTGAATATGCTACCTTTGAGCTTGATGAGAAATTTGAATATACTTATTGCGATGGATGATCGGCGGTTGTAAAGGCTTCATTGATTGAGTTAGGGTTTGGTATCAACCAAACCTTAACTCAAGAGGAAATTTTTTATATTTAAAAATAAGAAGATCGATGCTTTGATACCATGTTAAGAATGAGAAATAGAAATAGAATTGAAATCGATGGTGTGTTCTCATCGATATTCAAATCGTTTAAATAAGATACAAGCTAGTAACTAATACCTACCAATAAAGCAAATATAAATTAATTAAATATTGAGAAAAAAACAAAATAGAAAGAATATTAAGATATAATATCATATAATACATAAATAATATATTTTTTCAGTATTATATCTCAACCATTTAATAATAAAATTTTTTTAAAGTCAATTTACAAAAAAAATAAAATAAAATAAAATATTTGAGAGTGGTGTGGTTAAGCTGAATTTAAAAATAAAAGAAGAAAATATTTGAGAAATTGCCCGCGAAAGTCTTCATATCTACACGTGGCATACTTTTATTGGCTGATTGTTTAGGGTTCTCGCCTTCAACGGATTTCAATTTTCCACAAGTCCGTCCTTTTTTTAAGTCGACCAGCGTCGACTTTCCCTCACAATCAATTATCGAGCGCTTCTTCTTCCCGCGTCTGGTACGTTCCTCTCTCTGTCATGGAAATTGTTGCGCTAAACATCTCGAATCATCACAATTTTTGTGGGGATTTCGTTCGTATTATTTCAGTTTTCCCACTCATATGTTTAAATTTGTACTCTATATCGACGATTTCGTCTTATTTTACATCTTCTCATTATTCTATCGATAATTTATTTGGCAGGAAGTTTTTTGAAGTTTGACTCATGGATCCTCAACCCGAACCAGTGAGCTACATATGTGGAGGTGCGGTTGTTGTGTTTATTGATTCCATGCTTCAAAATCTACTGAATATTTAGGTTTTCAAGTTTGGTTCTCGTGTGCATCCTTTAATCAGTGTATAGTTACTTTGATTACATTAAAACATCGGGAATCTGGAAGTTTATTGATTTGAGTCTATATTTTTCGCAATCGAATATACATATATATCTTAGAATCCAGTAGTTTGAGTATATATTTACAATACTTGCACTAAATATTCACCTATGTTTGGATCTTGAGTACTGTCGAATTGGTGTAGATTGTGGAATGGAGAACACTCTGAAGCAGGGTGATGTTATACAGTGCCGAGAGTGTGGTTATCGTATTCTCTACAAGAAGCGCACCCGTCGCAGTAAGATATATTTGTTTTTTTTTTCTTTTACTCATGAATGTGTCGTCTCTATGTATGATATTTCCGTTAATGTTCTTAATTTCCACTGATGTTTGGAATTTTAAGTGTCGTCCATGAAGTTGTTTCTGACTTTCATATGCTTGGCCATAAATTTTCGATGAACTAAGAAACAGTGGCGGGATTTTTAATTAATAGTAGAGTAAAAAAAGTTTGGTGGGGCGGGAGCTAGTGTAGCGGCCCAAGCCCACAGCCGGTAGATATTGTTCTCTTTGGGCTTTCTCTTATGCGCTTTCACCCAAGATTTTTAAAACGAGTCAGCTAGAGAGAGAGATTTCCACATCCTTATAAAGAATGCTTTGTTCCCCTCTCCAACCGATGTGGGATCTCACAATTCACTCCCCTTCGGTGACCATCGTCCTTGTTGACACTTGTTCCTCTCTCCAATTGATGTGAGATCTCACAATCCACCTCTCTTCAGAGCCCCACGTCCTCACTGGCACTCGTTCCTCTCTATAATTGATGTGAGATCTTCACCGCTAGCCTCTTAGTTAAGTCTTAGTTAAGTTGATGAAAATAAGTCCTACCATTGATACAACTTTGAAAATAAGGTTAAACACTGTGATTGATACTTGATAAGCTTTGGACAGTTTTGTATTTTGTTGGTCTAATTCTAAAGTTGATTGCATTGCGTTTGAGATACCACTTCTCATAAGCTCATCAGCTACCTTTTCACTTCTTGTGTATTTATTTTGCATTCCCTTGATCACACTATCAACATCCATTCTCAATGCTGTCTTCTTCGTGATCAACCTTCATTTCCCTTCTTCATAGTTCATTTGAAAATTCCAAAAATGGATCATCTCAAAATTCATGTTAACATCAGTTTGTTTTGACGTTTACGTAGGTTGTAGTGATTTAGTATAATGTCCTAACGTGTTGTGTTTGAGCGAAATCTCTTCTCGATCTTTGGTAGTAATTGACTGAAAAAGTGCCTCTTGGGGTACCCCTCTTATGACTTGGGACGCTCTAGCGCGTTTTAAGCTTTGAGGGGAAGCCCAAAAGGAAAAGCCCAAAGAGGACAATATTTGCTAGTGGTGGATCTGGGTTGTTACAAATGGTATCAGAGCCCGACAACGGACGATGTGCCAGCCTTCTCGCTGTTCCCTAAAGGAGGTAGACACGAGGTGGTGTGCCAGTAAGGACGCTGGCCCCATAGGGGGTGGATTGGGTGGGGGTCCCACATCGATTGGAGAAAGGAACGAGTGCCAGCGAGGGGTGGGCCCCGAAGGGGGTGGATTGTGATGTTCCACATTGGTTGGAGAGGACAACAAAACACCATTTATAAGAGTGTCCAAACCTTCCCTTCCCTAGCATATATGTTTTAAAGCTTTGAGGGAAAGCCCGAAAGGAAAAGCCCAAAGAATAAGAGTGTGAAACCTTCCCCTAGCATATGCGTTTTAAAGCCTTGAGGGGAAGCCCAAAGAGGACAATATCTACTAGCAGTGGATCTAGGTCTAGGTCGATACAAAAAAATATGGTCTTTTTTATTTACTACATTTAAAGAAAGCATGCATCTTTTACTACTTTCTGTTTCCTTGGTATTTGAAGCTAATCCGAATTGTTCTGTTTTTGCAGTTGTTCAGTATGAGGCCCGCTGAAATGCCTTATTTGGCGATGGTTTTTTAGTATCATTGAATATTTTGTAACTCTCTCGTAAGGACTTCATAAGGATTCTTCTCTGCAATGCAAACATGAACATGATTATAGCGCTAGCAATATAATAATATAGTCGACTATTCTTCCCTTCTAATACCACTATCCTCGTGAGATAAGTTAGACAAATACCTGAAAACTATTCTTTGTTAGAAACCACGACTCTTTACAATAGAGACAAGTGGTATTTACTCATCTGACCGGAAAAAAAAATACAAGAAGTTGCCTACAAGAAGCACCGATTCTTGTGGGACTTCCTCTCAACAATCCTCAACATTTTCTCCCCCTTATTGCTAGAGTACGGGCAGTTTGGAGCATGTGTTTTGATGTTGGTGGGGATTTTGTTTTGGATCTCAACCCTTATAAAAATTTCTTCCCTAAGTATTAGTAGCATATGGCAACGTGAAAAAAGAGAATAAAAAAGAAAAAGAGTGGAGAGAAAATAAATAAGGTTATCTCATATTCCAAATAACAATAATATGGTATTATAAACTCATTATTTTTTCATTTAAATATTTTTGAGTTATTTATAGATTTATTATAGTTTTTTAAAACATACATCATAAATTAAATTTAAAGTCATTTTCTCTTAATTTTGCATCCCACTAAAATAATAATAATAGTAATAATGCTATATAATTTTTTAAAAAAAGTTAAATTAATAAAAATAATTCTAAAATTTTAAAATCTTCAATAATATTTTTAAATTTAAAAAATATTAAAAAATCCATTTAACAATATTTTGTTCAAAAGATATCCATAAATTTTTAAATATTATATTGGTTCCATCTTTAACAACCTCACCTTTATAAAATAAAATTTAAAAAATTATAATTGTTAATATACGAATAAAACAGTCTATTTACACTTTATAGATCATCTCTCTAAAAAAAATATTAATATTACTTTTAAAAATTATTGGTATATAGAGTATATTTACATTTCATAGATCATCTCTCTCAAAGATATTAATATTACTTAAAAATTATTGATATTATTAAAACCCGTTAGTTTCCATACCATTATTGTTAAATAGTTTTAAGAGCATTAAAAAACTTTTTGAAAATTCAAAAATATTTTTTAACTAATATTTATTTTTTAAAACTAACCATTTTTTCGATTTTTTTTAAAAATACAAAATATTATTAAAACTTTGTTTAATCTAAACAAATTGGAATATATTTATTCAAAAATATTTTTTAACTAATATTTATTTTTTAAACTCTAACCATTTTTCGATTTTTTTTTAAAATACAAAATATTATTAAAACTTTGTTTAACCTAAGCAAATTGGAATATATTTATTATTTATTTGATTTTATATATAGATTTATTTCGTGTTCCATTAACTCGATCGAGTGGACTCGAAAGCGTACTGATTGAAGGTAAACTAAGTAAAGCAGTGGCGGATGGAAAAGTAGAAGATAAACCAGAACCCTGCTCTTCGATCACTGTACTTCCTTCGACTCTCTCGCAGATCAGAATGGGTCAGCCTTCGACTCTCTCGCCGATTAAAATGGGTCAGTTGCCTCCTCTGCTGTTCTTAGTCAATCGCTGCTGTTAGTCAATCGCTCACTCCTTTTGATTTGATTTGGTTTTTGCATGTGTCATTCTTAGCGTGGTATGGCCTGTCAATCCAATTTCAGCCAGCTATTTCCACCTATTATAGGAAACTAACTTAAATCATTATATATTTGTATGTAAAAGTTACTATAATTTATAAGCTATCTATCGGCTTCCCCTATTTTGAGTTGCGAATTAATTGAGAGATGGCGGTGGAGGAGAGGCATTTCCATTAGTGGTTACTAGTTGATTGTTTTAGATTTTCTATGTTCCCCTGTAATCTGAATTTCGCGGCTATATTTGGGCGCAGATTGTGTCTAAATTTGTATAGTTCTTAAATGGAGATTTTTTTCCCCTCTGATATTTCCGGGTTTAGTCAAATTTAGTACTACGCTTCCTCAATGGTTGTAATTTCGTGGTTAATTTCAATGGAGTAATACCATGGATGCTTTCTTCTTCGATTCTTTGTCCGTTTTTCACAATTTTCCCTTCCTCCTCGTAATTAATTGGGAGCTTTGGCTGTCTTCGTGTACGAGCTTCTTTTGACTGGTAATATGAATTTTGGTTTAATGATTTTTAGGTACTACAGCTTTTTGTTGTCTTTTATCAGAGAAATCCGATTCATGAAATGTGGTATTGTTGTTTTTGTATCTGGATTTTCTCCCTTGTTGCATCTTATGATTGTTCTTCGGGTTTTTGGCTATTAGCTTGTTCTAATAAATGACATTTCAAGGCTATTTTTGTGTTTGATCCTAAAAGAAATTTGAGATTTCTGATATTTCAACGCTTGCCTGCATATCTTTGATGATCATCATCGAGGATTCTAATTTTTTTGAAGCTAACTTTGGGGTGGTCGAAGCCTCCCCAAGATTAGTGAGCTCCCTATACCTGTTATAAAATATGGTCGTAATCAAAATATTGGTACACATTTCAATTGGTTTTAGATTTCTTGAACTATTATTTGACAAAGATTCTTGTTGTTTCTAGTTGCTTACTTTTCTGTTCTTCAAATGGCTAAATTAGAGTTTCTAAATTAGGGTTTCGATTATAAGTCCGTACGTACATTGCTTTCGCTCTTTTTCTTCGAAATTTGAGTCGAAATACTCAAATATAAACATTCCCCAAATATCGACCGTGACTCCATTTTTTAAGCATGTACGTACCCCTTTATAGGATATACTTTTTTGAAATTTGGGTCAAAGTCATGGAATTTGAACATTCCATGCAACAATGTCGAATAATATCGTCCGAAACTCGATTTTTTCATGTGTGTGCTTCAAATGACCTTTTTTTTAATTTGAAATTTGAGTCGAAATACTCGAATATTAACATTCCCCATAAGAATGTCGAAAAATATCGACTGTGACTTTATTTTTTATGCACGTGCTTTGTCCTTGCTTTAAGTCAAATTATATGTTGATATTGCATTGTTTCTTTCGTATTTAGCTGCTTTTATATCTGGTTAGTAGTTCTTCGGGTTATTCTTTCTTTTTCGTGTGTGTGTTGTACATATGTGCTATAATGTCAAGATAAAAAGAGTAACATTTCATGTAAACAACCTAACCGGCTGCCCTTGGACATATAACTAAAGAAGTTTGATTTTTTGAACTGGTTTAATAACAGGTACAAAAAACGATGCAGTGTGCTCTTGAAAAAAGTAGTGAATTTCAGAAAGTTCCAGACAAAGGAAAGCAGTTATTAGAAGTGAAAATTCAGGAAGATAATTGTTCAAGAAGAATTAAGGTTCATAATTACGAAGATTTTATTTTCTTTGGTTTTGTTTTTGGTTTGCATAAAATTTTATGCTTGACCATTTTTTTTCAGGATTCTGAAGTTTCTTCTTTTGAATGGAGGAACTTTTTTGATTACAGGTAATTCTTTAGTAATACAATCGTTGACCTACGACATTGTTCTGTTTCTTTTTATCAATATTGAGAACTCGTTGATTATTATTTCTCGATTCGTGCGTGTCATCCTTGCATAGGAGGCATGCTAATCTGCTAATCTTCCCCGTATTGCTCCAATTTAGCGGATGTCGTCAAAGGAACCTTGTTGATTATTATTCATTTACTTATTTGGTTTACTTTTTCAGATCTGCCGTCATTAGTATTCTTACACTGGAATCTGATGGGCTCTGGAGAATTGTTGCACTACCATTGCAAGGCCTAGATAGCTTGCATGTGAGCTGCCTGCCTCAAATGAATCAGTTTACAGCTGATAGAAAATTGGTGCACAACGGCCCTGCCTCTAATGGCACATACTCAGTCAATTCATTCAGATGTAGAAGCTTGTTGGAGTCGAATAAAAACTTATTGGATAGTAAAGCATTTAAGTCGTCAAATAAAGCTTCCAGCAAATTCTCTTGGAGGAGTTCATGCTCCAGCTCTGCTTTGATATCAGGTGACTCTAGTGCAATCTCTGACATCCCCATTGGTGAAGCTAAAATTCAGAGATATGGGAAGAAAAATTCAAGAAAGAAGGCAAAAAAGAGGGATATAGAATGTAAGAAGACATCTTCTGATTTTGTCTCTGCTGAGACGGAAATCTCGTCCGAGGATTCTGCTCGTGGAAGTTCATTGTTAGAAGCTTGTGGAAATAATGGTTCAGATTGTAGAGATGGGCCTGTTTTGTGTTCGACAGCACGAGAAACTTTCCCGTCAGATACTCGGGCCAGTAAAAATGATTTTAAACGAGATTCTGAGAGGATTATTCAGCCACTTGGAACCACAGATTCAATATCCTCTGAAATTGTTGAGGGGGATGCATCTGAGGTTCCACCTTCTGCAACAAAGAATTCTAGTGGGGATTATAATGGTTATGTATCTGAAAATCAGCCCCTTATCAAAGCACCTGGTTGTACCCGTTTCGATGGGGAAGTAGATCGAAAAGAAAGGCTATTTAATGGCTGTTGCAATGATTTTTGCTCTAAGGATTCTTTTGATAATAATTCCCCAGATTCTAACTGTGATAGTCATACCTTGAAATTAACTGAAAATGAGGGTTTTGGAATTGATCTGTTGGAAGGACAGAATTCCCCTTCTAGAGAGAATGATTGTTCTCATCATAACTCCATACGAGATGAAGTGGACGTTAATGCCGAAGAGGAGAAAGCTAATCATGGTATTCAAGGATGTACTGCTAGTGAAACGCGTTTGATTTTACCTGGAAAGAAAACTAAACAGAATAAAAAATTGTCTGGGAATTCTAGGACGAACAGATTTGGTGGTATGGGGAGTTCGCAACGGTGTACCGGGAAGGAAAACAGCCGTACTGTCTGGCAAAAGGTTCAAAAGAACAACAGTGGTGGATGTTGTGCACAGTTGGACCAGGTAAGTCCTCCTGTTAGCAAACAGTTAAAAGGCGTATGTAATCCTGTTGGTGTGCAAACGCCAAAGGTCAAGGATAAGAAAACTGGGAATAGAAAACAACTGAAAGACAAATTTTCCAAGAGGTTGAAAAATAAGAATACTTCAGAACAAGATAAGATCTATCGTCCGAGTAAGAGTAGTAGTGGTAGTAATACTAATTCAA